TATCTAAAGAAGTAAGAAATTATATTTTGAAAAAAAAACATATTTGCTTAAAAACTAAAAGAATTTTAAATTTCGTTTTTTGTTTTGTTTATGTGACACTTTAAAGTGCTTACGTGGAATGAATTTAAGAACGAACTTAGATACGGTACTAGTGACTCAGGTTGTCATAGTTAATGTTTTTCTTATTTATTTATTTGTCTGTATATACATGCGCTTGGAGTGATCTTCGAACGAAGTGGTTATATCGATTTATAGTTCAAAAGGTCAGACGGCGCGCTATAGAGATAAAGAAGAGAAGAAGAAAACAAAATATATACAGTATCAGCAATAACAGATATTACTTTGTCACTGTTAACTTTTCTTTCTTTCGTTCTTACATAAGTGTCCTAAGAGAGGTTCGAGGCATTCTGATACATATATTTATATATATATTTAATTTTTTTTTGCTTTTCTGTTGTCTCGCTATATCTCGCCGTCTGACCTTTTAAACTATCATATTCTTTGTCCTTCACTTGTTTCGGAAATATAATAAAGATCAGTTGCTTATTTGTGCTATCGTGATAACTGGGTTTCTATTACTGAATACATATCCATCATCGAAACCTACATCATCTTGTTTATTGCATTTATATCAAGTCGAAGTAAGATTACTAACATAGCTAGTACAGACCTCAGTTTTTCATTAATCCCTTCCAGCATATTAACCTTTAGTAGTCAGGATATTTGGATCCAAGAGAAAGCTAATACATATTCTCTTTCTCGTAGAGAAGAGTCTGCCGAAAATACGTTGTTTGCTTTCTTGCTTGCTCATGTGTCCGCACTTCACTGATTGGTTCAACACTTGTGTGAGAAGAAAAGGGATTATTTTCTATAAAGTTTGACCAAAGATAATTGAGAGTGAAGAACCCAAAGCAGAGGTTAAGTTTCTGGAATCTTTTTATGATCAGTTTTTTTACACAAAGAACCACCTTTTTACAAAAAAAATTGATGAGGCTTGACCGAAGGGTAATCGGGATAGAAGAGTTCAAATCTGATTTCTGTTTTTTTTGATCATATGAATTTGTGGCTTAGTAGCTTTTTAATAACGCGATTTTCTACGAGACAGAGATGAGCGAGTCTTTAGACGAGCGTTATTTGTATCCAGTGATATACTATTCATTTTGTGAAGAAGTTGAAACAATAAAATATCTTTGTATAGCACTAACTCTACTCTACTATTTAATTCATCAAAATATTCGAATTTTCTACATTGATCAATATTTATTCTGCTTTCCTTCTCATCTGAATTGACATGAAGATCTTTTTGTTTGGTTTGATCATCCATCTAGTCTTATGTTGTTTCAGATTTTGTTCCCTTTTCTTGATCACCTTGGTCTCGGTTATTTCCATCGGATCATGTCGATATAAAATATAACAAATGCTCGATTGTAAGATAGATATTTGAAAACGATATTTTATAGATTTGACCTATCCTTACTTTTTTCGCTCTTTTTTCAGATTGAATCGGCTAAATAATGATTTTTTTGCTCGACTTCTTTCAAATTCTCGAAAAGCAAAAATTCATTCATTGACAGCCGGTGATTTTTATTTGGTGCAAAATGAATTCGTAATATTTTTTGTTAAATGTTAATCCATTAAGAAGCGGCCATGACTAAGTGGTTATATTGTTCTACACGTATTCACAAGGTACTGTGTTCAAACCTCGGTATCATCAGCTATGGAATGACCTTGGCCAAGTCACTAACAACTATTTGTTTCGGACCACCCATCCGATAGCATGCTGACTACGTGATGACATACAATATAGCTCTTGTAGCTTATATGTGGTTAGTCAGTATGTATGGGGAGCTTAAGTGATTAAGCGAAAAGAACCCGGCGTCAGGCCGGCCTTCTGTCCAGAGCTACAACTAGGAATAGTTGTAGGAAGAATATCCCGCTCATGAAAATATCCTTGGACATCATTTTATAGTGGAAAGTAGCCGAAAGGCGGGGTATTTTTTCTTCTTCTGACCCATTAAGTATCAGTTATGAAATTCTTGGTGGCGAAAAAAGAACAATTATTTCTTCTAATACATTAATACCATATCAAGAATATAACATCTGTACAACATCCTATCCTAAACAACAAGTAATTACTTTCAAAATTGTTGAAAGTGAAATTTTAATATCAGGACATAATCATATTTTGGGTCAATATGATGTCACTGGTATTCGATGTGCGAAACAAGGTGTTTCAACAATTGGAATCACTTGTTTCATTTATGTTAATGGTATTCTGACAGTAAGCTTTTGAATTTCTAGTCCACTGATTTGATTAAAAGTTTTTGTTATTTAGATGACTGCAGATGAAAGAGGAACAACCAAGGGGGGAAAAGCGAGACTTCATCTACTTCAAAATGTTTTTGAAGTACTGGTGAAGTATAGTGAAGTACTGGTGAAGTACAGTGAAGTACAGTGAAGTACTGGTGAAGTACAGTGAAGTACTGGTGAAGTACAGTGAAGTACTGGTGAAGTACAGTGAAGTACTGGTGAAGTACAGTGAAGTACTGGTGAAGTACAGTGAAGTA